TAGCAGATATGTCTTTATTAATTTTTTAATTGTTCCATTTAACTAATATTTCTATTTGTTCTATTAAAAAAAAAGTCAGAGAGCAATTCTTTTTCGTATTACTAATTTGAAATTATTCTTCGGAAAATAATTATAGTAAAGAAATGTTCCAAGTTTATAAATAATAGTGGAATCAGTCAGTGTTAATTGACCTGATTAATCGCTAATAAAAGAAAAAAATTCGGAAATTTTATTTTAAGCGAAAAGTCGTTTATTGAGTTATCAACACATCAAAGTTTATTAAGTGCAGAAGACATGTGAAAGTTATTAATTTTAATTTGACAGTAATGATTTTGAAGTATTTCACTAACTAAGAACTAAACTTTCTTTCAGGAAATTTTGAAACTAAAAAGAGTCCAGATCTAATAATCAAAAAGTTTATGATATCATACAAGATTATATAATTTACATTCTTAATAATTTTACTTTCAGTATAGATAAAAAAAAATTAAAATAAAGTTAGAAGTTAATTCAACTTCTAATAAGGATAAAATAGACTCAAATTTTATCGGAAATTTTTTCTTGTTTCTCTTGAAACGATGCAGCATTTATAATAAGATAGAATCACAACAATTAATGTCAAAAGGTAAACACTGCATTGATAATGCTTTACAATTTTAGAATTTCTTTTCTCAACATTTAATAAGATCTGCTCCAAAAAATTAATTAATGAGTTGTGTTAGAGGAATAATTGAAGCATACCTGGGCACCGTACTTCTTAAAAGCAGCAGCATAAGTATAAATTGCACCAGAGGTCATATTGTAAATGAAAGGTAATCGAAAAGCTGGTGGTTTATCTCGCCAACCTTTGAAAGGTTGATTCAATAGACCTTGGTCACCACCTATAAACAATTTAACGATAAAGTGTTTTTCTATATTTAATTATATATCATTTTAGTTTTAACAATAAAAAAAAAAGATAAGAAATATGACAAATCAAAGTTGACTAATAAATTCAGCAAAATGAATGAATAAATAATCATTTAAATAGATGTTGCATAATTTCTAATTTAATAAATTTAACCTTCTCAATCATTCTTTCAAATAGATATTTGACGAGAAAAAAAACGAAATACAAATAAACAAATTGTATACCTCAAAGGAGCCATGTTCAAGGGCAAAATTTAAAATGTCCAAATATGTCTGTTCAGATGGCTTATAAGCGAAAACACCTGAATTAAAGCAATCCGGCCAACCAATATCTGCTACAGCAGATAATTCATCATGATCGAATAATTCATCAGCATTTTGAATAACCTGAATATATTAACAAAAAAAAAAGAAAAAAATAAATCTCATGGCTAAAATAATAAAATTATCAACGTATTATAAAATTGAATCATAAAACTAAAATAGTAATGAAATTAAAAATACTCAATGAATCATAAAGCTGAAATAATAATGAAATTAAAAACTTCAAGAAATCATAAAGCTAAAATAATGAAATTGAAATTCTCAACGAATCATAAAGCTAAAAAATTATTATAATCATAAAGCTAAAAAATTATTATTTCGTCAAATATTCAGGTTGTCGAAGTATTCTTTCAGTAGCTTTAACTGTTACCTTTCATTGTCGATCATTCTTCTTGACGGAATATAACTCATTGTAGAGCGATTTTTTAATGATATGTGATTGCCCAAAATTCTCAATAAGGAATTTTCGTATCACATCGTAATTTTCTGATGTTATATCATAACCTCTAACAGCCAATAAGGCATCTCCCTTCAGACATACAATTAAATAATTTAATTTTTGGATGTTTGGTATTTTTTGTAAATGGACTGGAACTTCAAAGCTGCTCCAGGATCCTCTCCACATCTTAGAATTACCACTGAAGGTAGGTAGTGTAATTGAGGTAAGTTAACAGTTGGGTAAGGGATTATTTGAGTTGGTTGCTCCTTTATTTCGTCTTCTTTAAGAAGCTGGATTACTAACTGTGAATCATTCATATACATACTTAAGGTTATAATGACTTCTTTGCCTTCACTTATTAAGTTTAAAATACTTCTTTTATCTTTGATCATTTTGGCTATTTGTCTTCTTTTTCCTTTCTCTTCGTTGCTTGAACCTGCTGTATGCATTGGACCCAGTTAGCGTTAATTTCTCAAGTGTGCCAATGTGCAGTTTAAGACGCATTATTTTTTCTTCAATAATTCTTTTCCGAGCCTCATGCTGTTGACGGGTTTCTTCTCTGGTCAACACCTGCTCCGAAGGCGTTTGAACCATTTCTTGGACTTCTTTGAGAAGAGTTTCCAATTTTTCTTTTACCGGTCGTGCGCTTAGTACTATATTGCAGATATTTTCCGGCTCGTGGCACCAAAAATTTATTTATCATGGAAGGTTTTGATTGTTTAATTAATAATATTGGGAGAGGTGTTTGATCGTAGGGAGATTGTCTTGGATGTAAATGTAAATGCGTGAAATAACAGAAATATAATCCAAGTTCTTTATTAGCGGAAGTAATAAGACAATACGTTGATAGAGAACAACTGAAATTGGAATCGTCGGTCCTTGGCGATAAATTACACATATATTAAATCTTTTAAAGAGTGAGCAATTATCTTACATTATATGTGTTAAAATGTGGGAGTGGTTTATAATTAGACATTCTTGTACAAAGGATGATAGTAAGTAACTTTAACAATAGGTTTAAAAATGGATATCACGAAAGAAAATACAATGACTTGTCTAGACATTATGATAAGTGGCTACTATGAGTTGCAATAAACATTACGTGGTAGATGCTTGTTGTATATGAATTGATATAAGATCAAAGGTCAGTTAAACTATTACGATGAATTGTAAAAGACATCAATGGATTACTATATTAAGCATTGTTAACATTTATTTAGTGCTTCGCGATGTTAAAATCCGCGACAATAATAAAGTAAAAAAACAACACAATTGTAATAATATTTTAGCTAAATGTGATTAAAATTGTGAGAAATATTAATTGAATTAACCTGTAATTATATGATAAGCTATTAATATGATAAGTAATATTGCTACAAATAGTAGAAATAATGATATGAAAAGATGAGGAAGCATCAGATATGGTATCATCTTCTGTACTGAATATACTGTAGCAATAACGCTAATGAACCATGAAAGCTGCAAATAATTTTACATTTATGATATTGAAAATATATTTGACAAATTTTAATGAATTATTATTAGTATTAAAAGAGTTATTTTTACTTATTACGGGAGTTTTCTTTTTTCTTAATTGATATAATGAAAGATTGCCTGTATGATGATAAGAGGTATCAAACAGTCGAAATGTAAAGCATATTTCAAATTATCAATATTGTAGAATATATTTCTACATCTAAAAAGTTATTAATTCTGCGAAGTTAAAAGTGTGAATTAAGGATAATTTCTTATTTCAATTAAATTTTACCTAATTTTTATCACTTATTTATCCATATATATATGTACTATCCAATGAATTTGCATTTTTCACAAAAAAATTTAAACCTTAATAAGTGTTACTTTAATAACTTTTTTTCATACCTTGTAAATAACTAAAAAGAAGAAAAGCGGTAGCTTATATAGCTAATACTGTAAAATGAATGGTAGGCAAACTTTCAAAACGACAACAATCCTTGCCATCCAATAATTTCCCATCTGCAAAAATTTTAGCTTCATTTATCCAACCATCCATCCATTCATTATTCACTCATTTCATTTCCATGCAATAATTTTACCGCTTCTACCTTTTCTATTCATTCTTTTTCCGCTTTTTTAATACAGTCTATTGCCAAAAAAAAGAAAAATTTTAAATAAATTTGATTCAAAAATAAGAAGTAATATATTAGAAATTGATTAAAATTGAGATTTAATTATGTGTTACAATTTTATAATATAAAAGATGATACCGAGAAATGGCATTATTTCATATTATAAATTTTTATGTACTTTTTAGCAGTATGTAATAACTTGAAACTCATTAATGATTAGCCTATCATATTAAACAGTTTTCTATTAGCTTCATTTTGAAAGAATACGATTTCAAAATCAAATAATTCTATAGTATATGCAAACTTTCAACAATTTATCTTTTAATTTATTATTTAAATTAACAAGTTGAATCATTTATCACTATAACAAATATTACTTTGTGATATGCTAATTCAAATACAAAACCATAATTCATATCTCTGTCCATTCATATTTATAAAGCATAGTAATCAATTGAAGAAGTTGAAAATTTTAATTTTACAAAATTCGTTTCGCAAATATAAAAATAATATGCAATCGTTGATTGTACTCCGCGCTGTTCCATAGTTGCATAAATTTAATCAAGTTATCGTTGAGTAAGAAATGTTTAATTTAAGCATCGATAGATAGAAAGTTTCTAGCAATGAAATATTCTTCAACAGATAGTAAAAAATTCATGATAATAGATTAATTAGTTTATAGTAATAATTTTTCTTTTTTTTTTTTTTGAAATAAACTTGAAGTGTCGTAAATAATTTAGGTAAATTAACTTAATAATAGTTTTTTTCTTTTTTTTTAAATGTCAAACTTAAAAGTGTTGTAAAATTCACGCAAAAATAGTAACATGGTTATTTGCTAGAACGAAACAAACATGCAAAACTATAGATTTAAATGTTTTTTAACCAATAAAATACGTTTTATAAGAAGAAAAAAAATCTATAAAACCTATAGAATGTCCCAATACGCTTGAATTTCTTACGTTTAATACATCCTCTCAGTAAAATATTTACCTGTTTTTTTTTTCGATTAAAAAAAAATAACTTTCTTAAAATAGGATTGCAACTATAATGAAATTAATAAAAAGAAAAATTGAGATTCTCAAAAAAATGATGGAAGAAAAAAAAAGGAAGCAAATGTTATGACGGAAATAGCTAACCAGTGATGGTGACCGAACTTTTCATTTCGTACATAAATGAAACCTTGTAGTGGCTTATTTCATACAAATAATTTCATTCTTTTCATGTATTCTTTTTTGTTCTTTCCAGTATTTCTTCTAGTTTTATTGGTGACAACATGTACTCCCACTAATCCATCAGGTTTTCTTTTCATTATTTTTTTTTTTTTTAAATTATCATAATTTATACTATCATTATAGTAATTATCATTCATTTCTCGCAACATATCTTTAATAAAAAATGTAAATATAATAAAATTAAAAAAAGAAAAACACACACACATTGGATAGAATTGCATATTGTTGAGTTTTTGTTGCTTAATTATCTGTGATAAATTTCAATTAATAAATTTGTAGTGGAATGGAAACAAGACTGGAGCGGTGAGTTACCAATGGGTGGAACTGGAATGCATAGAGGTTGGGTTGGGTTTGGCTCTGATCATGATGGTGGAAAGTATGTGGAAAATGGATGGCAAAATTCATGGCAGTCTGGAAATAGTGGTGGGAATTCTGCTTCAAATAAGAAACAAACCTTAGATGACAAATGGGACACAGCAGACAAAGGCAAATGGTTATGGGGTAATGGTGGAAGTCGTAGTTGGGGTAAATGGGGCATGGGTACGGGAAAACATGATAAAAATGGGCAATGTTGTTGGTATTGATTTTGGGGATGATTTGAGTATTAGTATGGGTATGGGACCAGAAAGCAGTTACATTTCCTGGGGTAATATCAATACAAATAGCTGGAAGAACAGTGGAGGTGGAGAAGGTTGGCGCAAATGGGAAGGTTCGAAATCTTTTACAAACATTTGTTTTTTCATTTTTTTTTTATTGCTTATTTTTATGACAGATTTCAATCCATTCTCTGTTACTTTACTTTTAATTGGAAGAATGGAGTTTAGATGGGACCATTATACAACGGAGAGATTTTGGTAATTCTATCTTTAATTACTTTTTTAAAATTAAAGTTTGTGAAAAAATATTTTATGATAGTTTATCGTGCATACTAATTATTGCATAAGTGGTGAGAGAATAGAAATTTTTTTTTTTTTTATATCAAATTAACCAGCAATAAAATTCCTTTTTAAAAATTGTCAATGACAAAATGGAATGATTAAAAATTTGATGAACCTTTAGACCAATTAAGAAAATAAAAAATTTCACTGTAATGGAACAATATGTGTCACCGTCATATATTTAATCATACATTTGTCATTTATTTTTTCTATACTAAAAATTAGACAATTCATTAATTTACAAATAAACTATACTTCATTAGACTTTCAAAGACTATCAACTTAATTCGCTTTCTTTTTTTTTTTTCAGTTCTCATTAAGAAATAAAACGGATCAAACTATATTAAATTCATTTCTTTCTTTAATGGCGAAAATTTTCTATCAAAATTCATCATGAAAACTACCATTTTTTCTTTCACTAACTCATGCAATAGAATTTTTTCTTTCGAAATGGAACGAAATAAAAAAATATTTTTTTCTTCCTTCTTTCTCTTTCTTTTTTAACTTATTGACTCGTATATTTTCAATTGACCTTTTAAAAATTAATTTCTCATTGCTTAACGGTTCTCTGTTACGCAATAATGTACCGTAAAAAGAAATGATTGACAACAAAAGTGAGGGAAAAGATATTCGGGTAACGAAGAGTGAATGCTAACCAGAAAAGATGAAAGAGAAGAAATGCTGTATTATTAATTTATTTTTATGTGATTTCCACATGAAAAATGTAATTTTAAAAATAGCAAAAAGATGAATCACTATTAATTACTGGTCATTTTTGTCTTTCTGGTGAGAAATGTCGATATCTTATGGCGATTAACTATTATGTTCTGCTCGTAGAGATGCTTTTCGATACGTTTAATTCTTCGTGATTGAGCTGTTCGTTCACATCCAAACAAAATCACCAGAAGCGGTAATATTGATAAAGCGCCAATTGGTCCAAATTGATAAACCTGAACAAATTATTTTTCAATTGATCAATCAGTGCATAACAGCACTTTATGAATTAACTTTATGAATTGGCTTGAAAGCATGCTTTGTCATCCTATAATATTAGCTACCTGTCCCCAAAACAAATCTGATGCCATTTTCTGGTCATATTTTTTGTCGTAAAATACTTAAATAAAAGTGAAAATTTTGCAAAATGCTGTTTGTCACCTATGAAGTAAATAAAATGAGGGATGGTGAGAGTGACATGGAATACCTTTTGATTGTAATAAAAGTAAACATCGGATGTCTCTAAGGATTTGCAGAATTGTCCGCTATATGGCATCTCACATATACAATTTTGTCCACTTGCATCCGATACACCATGAATGCACTGAATTTGATCACAATTAATACCTTTCCAACCATCCGAACAATCGACGCAACTGAAAATTTTCACATACACTTGTTGTGACTTTGTTTTTGCTGATTTTATTATTTAGTTTTAATTTATGAATCTCATATATGCAATAACAACTCCACATAATTCAATTAGTAATGATTTTACGATCAAATCGAGAAAAATTTACTCTCTTCTATTTATTCCTAAAATCTAATTATTGTTTCTTTATTCTATTAAATTTGCAGTGCTTACTATCTTTTCAATCATTGATTAAATGGAAAACTGAATAAAACGGATTTCAATGATATTTAACTATTATTCATCCATACCATAAGTATTGGTTTTATTTAGGAACGTCTCTATATTTTGTTAAGAAAAATCTTTTTCTTGTTGAATTAGTTGTTACAATAAAAATAAATTCATCTCAAACTGCAAATGAGAAACTGTAACCTTCCATTCGATTGAAATTTATTAAACTTGCAGTGCATGACACGATTGCAATAAGTACCACTATAGCCCCTTATACATATACATCGACCACCGATTGAACTACCATTGTTACAACTGAATTTAATTCTTTTTTCTTTCTTTAATTTTACTTGTAGAAACTTTTCGCATTTAATATATTTCATCTATAAAATGTATCTTTCATAATTTACACAAAAAATGATAATAAACATAAACAAATGTAAAATTTTGAATAATATAAAAAAGACGATTAAATATTGTGAATATCTAAATATAAAAGTATATATATATATAAAAAGACGATTAAAAATAATGCATGCTATACATTCTTATTCGCTGAAAAACATCTAAAAATTTTATCATTAGCCTATTAAGACTAATTTTAATCAAAAATTTAAAAAGTTAAACAAATGAATTAACTAATTATTGATTTGACTTGAATATATTGACGGACATACTATTCATGATATTCATGAAAATGCGATGATGCTTTCGCTGATTGCCACCAACGAGATCGATAACGCTTAATATAGCAATTGACAATAGTATCATCCTTGTATCCATCAACTTCTGAAAATGCACATTTGAGAAATAATACAGGTAAGTGTATTTTCAATAGACAGTCAGGTAGAATGAATGATGAATTTGAACGCCATATGAAAGCAGAAAGTATTGATCATCTATAATTTTTAAAAAGTTGAAATTTTTCAGCAAAAAAATTAATTACGAGAAAATTTTTAAAATGATATAATTAAGAGGAGAATGCGAAAGAAAGAAACGAAAGAGATGATAGTATAATCTAATTAAACTTTAGATTATAAAGTAATTACGCATAAGTAAGCATGTGATTGTTTGTAAAGTCATAACGTTAAACAGAATACAATATTTTGAAAATAATTTCAAACATCATTTACTTCAATAATCGTCATAAAATTAACAGATAGAGTTTGTTTTTTCTGAAGCATTGAAATCAATAAGCATTGAAATTTCAAAAATTTTCAAATTTCATTTCAATAACTAAAAACGTTTTAATTTGAATGCATTCATTAAGAGTTAAATGATGTAATACTAATTTTTTAAATATTGAAAGTTGAATAATTATTAATCAGTACCATCCTAATTAATGTATATGATAAAATAAAAATGTCAATAATATCATCAAGAAAACAGTTATCGCTGTGTACTTTATTTTGCTAAAATGATTTAAGGAAATTGTTGAAATATTGAGAGGAATGTTGCGTATATGTTACGGAAAGGAAAAAAAAAATTAAATTAAATTAAATGTGAAGTGTTTGAGAAGTGATGATCATTTGATGGGAACAGGTTCTGACCATCAAATAGCTATTAGAATTGAAATAGAAAGGACATAATTAATTATGACATATGCAATGTACTTTAAGATATGATTCTTAGCACTGATCGTTCCATCCAAATATTTCAATTTCTTATTTTTAGAATTTAGAATCTACTCGTTGATAAATATTATCCAATTGAGAGAATTACTAAAGAATGTATGAAAAGTAAACAAATGTAAAATAAGTAAATAAAAAAAGAAATACCTGAAATTATATAATAACAGAACGAGTGAATAACATGCATGCCAAGCACTAATTTCACTAAGTTTTATCATTCCTTGGACACAGTTTTTGCATTGCGAACCAAATGGATCGGTTAAGGTCGTTGGGAGGTGTGCTTTTTGGGATACCATGGAAATCTCGGGGGATGGAAGATGACACCGATGAAGGAGATTTGGTATGCTTTTGAACTTTTCGCTCTCTAAAAGTGTTATATTTCTTTTATTTCAATAACTAATTAATTTTTATTCGTAGAAAGCGTTAATTTATCTTAGAGAATGTTTAGAAAATAATTGTTGCAAGATTTGATATTGCAAAACGGCTGTGATTCAGTTTGTAAGTTTAAGAAGGAAAAAATAGTTTATCGAGAAGCTTCAGAATTTTGAAGACCTTCCGATAATTTATGAGCTACTTTAAATTGATAGTATTTTCAATTTTCTCCTCTGCTACATTTTAAGTTCATTTTTTCATTTGAGATTTCGCAGTTGCATATCACAGTTCTGTTAGGAATGCATCTCTCACTTTATTTACTTATTAATCATGAACTATAACAGTTCAGTTTAGATATATAGCAAAATCCTTATGCTGAACATCGCAAGTTAAATTTGCAAATAACATTTGGATAGCCCCGCTCCTAACTTATGTATTATTAATTAATAATTCAAGTACATGTTATCAAAGTGTTTAGGTTCATAGAATAACACGAGAAGAATACGAGGAACCAATTCGGGATGTCTACGTGGAGTCACTGGCACGTATGTCATATGCAGAACTTGATGACAAATACAACCCAGGTATTCAGGTTGAGTTTAAACCTTTAGTCTCCGCAACTGAGAAGGTTCTGCAGACTTTTTCCAAGTCCTTGATGGTTTTTTTTCAAAAATTATAAGAGAGTATTGGTGCGATTCAGGTAGTTTTTTTCAGGTCCAACATTGCCAGATGGAAGTGTGAACTTTGAGTGTCACTGTGTCGGTCACTTAGTCGCCAGTCCGTGCGGTCATGAATTTCGTGAAGCAATAAAGTGCCAGAAAAGTGCTGGGGAAGCAGCCTTAGAGGAAGGAGCTTGTGCCACAGAGTTCATGAATTTTATGGATTGTGTTATGCGAACGGGATGCTTTAAAAGTGAGTTCGTCAGTTTTTTTTTTTTGAATTTATTTGCTCTCGCATATCTTGATGAACATGCATATATTATTAGGCTGTTCATTATGAGAATATACTTCATGTATGTTGAATATTATCGTGAAATAGCCGTTTGATTGCAATGAATGTCACTAGGA